GCCATGGGGTGGAGGGAGGGGGCGGGGTCACAGAGGGAGGAGCGGGGCAATTTGCCCCCAAATAAGGTAATTGGGGGGCAAGGAGGCCACGCCCCCAGGGGGCTTGGGTGGGGTACTGGTCCTTACTGGTCCTTACTGGTTCCCAGTATCCCCTTACTGGTCCTTACTAGTTCCCAGTGCTCCCTTACTGGTTCCTAGTGCTCCCTTACTGGTCCTTACTGGTTCTCAATATCCCCTTACTGGTTCCCAGTATCCCCTTACTGGTCCTTACTAGTTCCCAGTGCTCCCTTACTGGTTCCTAGTGCTCCCTTACTGGTCCTTACTGGTTCTCAATATCCCCTTACTGGTTCCCAGTATCCCCTTACTGGTTCCCAGTGCCCCCTTACTGGTCCTTACTGGTTCCCAGTATCCCCTTACTGGTCCTTACTAGTTCCCAGTGCTCCCTTACTGGTTCCTAGTGCTCCCTTACTGGTCCTTACTGGTTCTCAATATCCCCTTACTGGTTCCCAGTATCCCCTTACTGGTTCCCAGTGCCCCCTTACTGGTCCTTACTGGTTCCCAGTATCCCCTTACTGGTGGCAAGGAGGCCACGCCCCCAGGGGGCTTGGGCTCCCAGTACCCCATTACTGGTCCTTACTGGTTCCCAGTATCCCCTTACTGGTTCCCAGTACCCCATTACTAGCCTTCACTGGTTCTCAGTGCCCCCTTACTGGTTCCCAGTATCCCCCTACTGGCCCTTACTGGTTCCCAGTGCCACTTACTGGTGGTTACTGGTGTTAACTGGTGGTTACCGGCAGGGGGGGCTCGTTACCTTGATGGAGATGACGAAGTGGCCGCCGTTGCGCAGGAAGTTGTGGGCGTTGAGCGCCACGATGCGCGTCTGGTCCGGCTGCGCCACGTCCGCGAAGATCACGTCCACCATGCCTGGAGGGACACCCCAAAATCAGGAAGACCCCAAAATCCTTCAGACAACCCCCAAAAACATCTCCTAGACCTTCAGGGACCCCAAAATCTTCTCCAGGACCCCCAAGAACCTCTTGGAGACACCTCGAGGTGCCTCCAGACCTTCTCCCATGCCTCCAAACCACCCTGAAGAACCCCAAAAACATCTCCTAGGCCTTCAGGGACCCCCAAAATCTTCTCCAGGACCCTCAAGAACCCCCCAAGAACCTCTTGGAGACACCTCGAAGTGCCTCCAGGCCTTCTCGCATGGTTCCAAACCACCCTGAAGAACCCCAAAAACATCTCCCAGACCTTCAAGGACCCCCAAAAGACTTTGAAACTCACACTGGGTCCTCAAAAACCTCCGAAACACCTCAAAACTCATTAGAAATACCTTGAGGTACCTCCAGACCTTCTCCCATGCCTCCAAACCACCCTGAAGAACCCCAAAAATATCTCCTAGACCTTCAGAGACCCCCCCCAAAACATCTTCTAGACCTTCAGAGACCTTCAAAATCTTCTCCAGGACCCCCAAAACACTTCAAGATCCACAGCGGGTCCTCAGAACCCCCCAATAACACCCCAAAACCCCACTGGAGATACCTTGAGGTGCTCCAGACCTTCTCCCACACCTCCAAACCACCCTGAAGAACCCCAAAAACATCTCCTGGACCTTCCAGAGACCCCAAAATTCTTCTCCAAGACCCCCCCCAACCAACCGTGGGACAACCCCCCCCCTAAACTGACCAATGAGCATCCGGTACTTGTGGGGGTGGCGGGCGTCCTCGATGACGGGGATGACGTTGGTGCGTTTCTTGGCCACGTTGATGAGGTCACGGCCCGAGCGGTGAGAAAACTCCACGGCGTAAACCAACCCCTCCTGGGGATGAGGACAAGGAGGTCACCCCACCGCCGTGGGGACAGGAGTAGGGACCTCAAGGTGGAGGACACCTCCAAGGACATGAGGCCACCACCCGCGGGGACATCCCTGGGGTCCTCAAGGTGGAGAACACCTCCAAGGACATGAGGCCACCACCCGCGGGTACGTACCCAAATGACCTCAAAGATGCCCCCAAGTAGATGGAGATGCCACCTCCAGGCTACCCCAAGGGGTTGATGACCCCCATCCCCACATTCCACCATCCTGGGACCCCCAAGTAGATGGAGATGCCACCTCCAGGCTACCCCAAGGGGTTGATGACCCCCATCCCCACATTCTCCTTGTCCCATCCCTCACGGTGACATCCCTAAGGAGCTCACGAGGCCACCTCCGTGGCCTCCTGCCTCCAGACCCCGTGTGATGGCCCCAAAGCTTCTCAAGTAGATGGAGATGCCACCTCTGTGCAATCCCAAGACGCTGATGATCTCCATCCCCATGTCCCACCACCCCAAGACCTCACGATGACATCCCCAAGGAGCCCATGGTGCCACCTCCACGTCTCCTTGTCCCATCACCCCACGCCAACGTCCCCAAAGCTTCTCAAGCAGACGGAGATGCCACCTCCGACCGATCCCAAGAAGTTGACGACCCCATCCTTGTGTCCCACCACCCCAGGACCTCACGGTGACGTCCCCAAGGAGCCCATGGTGCCACCTCCACGTCTCCTTGTCCCATCACCCCACGCCAACGTCCCCAAAGCTTCTCAAGCAGACGGAGATGCCACCTCCGACCGATCCCAAGAAGTTGACGACCCCATCCTTGTGTCCCACCACCCCAGGACCTCACGGTGACGTCCCCAAGGAGCCCATGGTGCCACCTCCACGTCTCCTTGTCCCATCACCCCACGCCAACGTCCCCAAAGCTTCTCAAGCAGACGGAGATGCCACCTCCGACCGATCCCAAGAAGTTGACGACCCCATCCTTGTGTCCCACCACCCCAGGACCTCACGGTGACGTCCCCACGGATCCGGTGGCCCTGAGTCCTTACCGGTCCCACGATGTCGGAGACGTGGGACACGGTTGTCCCCGAGGCGGCACCCAGATAAAGGACCTTCGTCCCCGGGCGGATGTGGATCTGGTCGATGCCACCCAAGATGGCGGCCGCCAGTTTGGAACGAAACGGGTTCCAGGCGCGATATTCCACCTTGGTGTCACCGTCCTGGGGACAAGGACAACCAGGGGGACACGTCACCCACCAGTTATGACACCCCACGGACACCTCCGCCCTCCCAATACCACCAGTGCCACCTCCCAGTGCTCCCAGTATGGACCTTGAGAAGGTTTTAGTGGTCTGCTACACCTTTCCCACTTGTCCCTGTGCTCTCCCAGTTACTCCCAGTGCCCTCCCAGTTCCCCCCAGCTGCCTCCCAGTCCCTCCCAGTGCCTCCTCACCCCCTCCCAGTACCCCCCAGTCCCCTCCCAGTTCTCCCTAACCCCTTCCCACTGTCCTCCCAGTTACCTGTAGCTGCCTCCCAGTCCCTCCCAGTGCCCTCCCAGTTACCCCCAGTACCTCCTAACAACCCCTGCTTCCC